CCACACAACTGTGTTCAAACACCTTATAAAAGTGATTTTTGCATTCTATGGCACCTTTAAAAGGAACAATTCACTCAAAGACGGAAATTCTGTTATTATATGAATCATTTTAATTGAACAATTACAGAATTTATTCTGTCGTTCTTGCTCCAACCCTATATTATGTGATATTTTGTAAAATACAAATGAAAAAATGCATGCATTGCCAATATTAGGGAAAAGACATCAGCGCAGTCCGGCGCAGAGAAAATAAAAATAAAAAAACCCAAGATGAAGCCAGTGCATCACGTTCATAATCCTGTGAAACATTTTTGACTGTTGACGTTAAAGTCGGCATGAAATCAAAATTGACTTTATTTACTTTACTAGCGCACATTGCTAGTCTTGATGTAAACAATTAATCCGTGCAAGTTAATCCGCTGAAAAAAATTCAGTAATCTTCGTAATCTTTAATCAAAATCTGAACATTTACTTCCGCTCTGGAATGGCAGTCCTTCTCTGATGATGTCAGTTTGACGGCTTGGGCAGAATATCCTTAAACACACCCCTCCAACCTTTAGATTGCCATGAGTGAGAGGCAGAGAGGAGGAGCGCAAACATAAAACAACGCCCTCTATTCAATATTCCATTTCAGCTGGAAATACGTCACTACACTGAAATAAAGTCGGCAGCAACTTCCGGTTCACGCGGACTTTAATATAAATATATTTTATTTTTTATTATCAAAAAAAGATGAATGTATCTAATCTGTGTACTTTGTTCAGTTGAAGATTCTGTTAGGTTATCCACCTTTTTCTTGTGCACTGTGTAAACAATGAGTGACGTATACGCGCGAGAGATCACTTCCGGCGCTTGCGTAAACTATGCCAGAGCGCGTACACACCTCACGCACCGGAAGTCGTGCGCGTGCTCAAAGCAGTTGGACATAGTGGTGTATTAGAGGTAAAAAATGATATAAATACTGTTCGGTTTCTGGCACAAACCGATCGTTTCGTGTGTTAAGACATCAATGTGTCGTCAGGAGCCGCAGGGTTTTTTACACTCATAGACTTTGTTACCATTGCCATGCGTTATACGACTGATGGACTCCAACGGCTGGACTTAAAAATCATCAAATGTGTTCTACTGAAGAAACAAAGTCACCTACATCTTGGATACCCTGGGGGTAAGCAGATAAACATCAAATTTTCATTTTTGGGTGAACTATCCCTTTAAAGAAGTTCAAGATCTATACTTGTGCTCTTATTATTTCAGTTATTTTGCCTTTAATGTAAATAATAATGTGCAAACAATATACTTGCTCTTGTGAATTTATTTTGATGTTAATTACATTGTGCGAGCTGTCTCTTTAATACCGTGTGGTTTATCTACATGTTGCTGCTGATTGGGCTGACATTTTTGACACACCCACCAAACAAGAGAAAACGTATCTCAAACCCCGTTGCACACCGTTTCCAGGAAACATGTCGTTCAACCCGGAAACCATAGTAAAATGTTGCGCACCGGTTTGAGCTTGAACGTGCCCCTGATCATATGCATATGCGGAAAATTCGGATCCGATTTGAGCTTCGGATGCTTTAAAATATTTGAACTTCTGCGGCTAGACCGTATGTGACCGGCTGACCGAATGCGATGTATTCTATTAAAAACTACGTTGATTAGCCCTATAAAACCTACTATGTTTTTATTTTGAGGGTCATTTGTTTGTGACGATGCATTCAGACATTAATTATATTCATTAAAATTATTCATTTTACCATGGTGAATATGCTGAGGTAACGGTTGCTGCACGACCAGTTTGAAAGTTCTGTGCGACTGCCACTAGGGGGAGAAATGCGACAGTCGTGTCCGAATGTCGTGTGCAGGCTAGGGGGGAATCGTATGGCATCGCATCGGTAGCTGCTTCATATGTATCTTCAGTGTATCGTATCGTTGGCTATGCATCGAGATGTGTATCGCATCGGCCTCAGTTATGGAGATGCACATCCCTAGTTTGTAAGATAACAGGAACGCTTTTGCACTATTCTCTGCTCAGCACCCTCTGCTGGATGACTGTGGAAATGTTTCACACATTCTTTTTAATTTGCTGTGTATCAAGCTCAAATCTTCCTTCATGGGTCTTTTATTTGGCAGGCTTTGGTGAGTTAGTTAAAACATAAATTGTTCTGTACTCAGAACCCATTCAAAAATGGCTATATTTTCTAAATTTTTAATTAAGGTAATTTATTGTTTTAGGTATCCCAGCTCTAATAGTTTGTAGATTATGCCAAGTGAAGATGTCACCAGTCTATATTTTATGTAAGTAGATTTACTTTGTAACATGTAACCGTGCAGTATGCAATATATATATGTTTTGCTATTTTTTTTCTTACTTAGGTGCTCGATTTTGGATTCTGATTACATCATTATTATTGGCTTACTGGCAGTTGTGGTGAGCTCTGGTACAGTCATGCTTTTCTTTGTGGCTACAAAGATACGTAACCGACCTGAGTGGAGGAAGAAACGCATGGGTTCTATTCAGTATGGGGTCTCACTTGTATGTTTGGCACAACGTGGGGCCTGGGTCTCTTCAGCTTTGGCCCTCTCTCAGAGGCCAGCTTCTTCCTTTTCTGCATAATCAATTCCCATCTTGGTGAGACTTTTTACACTGTTGATACTACACTATTGCTACTTTTGATAATACGCTATTGCTACCTACTCAAGAAAGTTACGGAAGAAAGATCAAATCCTGGCCTTGTCAATGCATCTGTGTCAGTTTGACATAATATAATCTATAACAGTAAGCTGTGGTACCAGTATGTTTTTCTTTATTAGATTGTTTCAGAAAGCTTGCATGTAATTCATTAGGTTCCTGTCAGATATAGACAATGTATGCATACAGTTTAGAATGATAATTCTCAATCACTGATTATAGTATACTAATAATCAATATCCAGATTCTGTATCCAAACAGGAGTTTTTCATATGCTGCGATACTATGCCCTTGAACAGATGAAAAAGAGATGTGAATTGAGTTCGGCTGGGGGCAGTAGAGGATCTGTTATGTTACAGTGCAGAAATGAAAGTGTTTTATAAGGGAGTGTTTTTATTAAAAGGGCGTAGATTAAAATAAATAAATAAAAGTTTGGTGTACTGCTTGGTCTGCTCTCATCCCGTAGGTCATAATATTGAATGTTTCTCAGATGACATTGTTTCATAACACGGTTTAGAGAATCAAACGCAAATGCTTCACATGTTATATGGTGTATTTCTTTCATTTTATTCTTTGTATGAATGTAGTAGTTTAACATTATGAAGCAATCCTTGTTTTTCAGCAATAGGTTTGTGCAAATCTGCTGTATGCAATCCTTACGTTTATATATTTGGAGACATGCTTTTTGAGTTTACAGTAATGAAAGAAACTTTAATATGTTCATTAGAAAGGTTAATGTAGTGGTTACAGTAAAATACAAATCTGACCAACATATGCCTTATACATGTTTGCAATATCTAATGTAACAGATCCTTTTGACTGGCCTAGGCCTACGGTCACAAACAGGCCAGAGACAAGAGGAGTGCAGGTAAACAGAAGGGTTTATTGACAATGCTGTAATGGTGAGGATCGACGGCAGGCGAGTATGAGAGATATGAAAGTTCTTGGTTTCTTAGCTTCTTGATAATCTGGGTTCTGATTGTTGCAGGAATCCTGGAGATGAACCGGGGCCAAGGAGAATCGGGATCGCGGAGACGTTATAGACCCCTGGAGGCAAGGAAACAACAGGTAAGGAGTCTGGTATTGTTCGGGTAGTGAACGGTTGACCAGACACTGGAATACTGAGTGGAGTGAGAAGATATAGCAGGCTTGATTGGTGATTGCAGGTGCAGGTGATCAGAAATTCAGCCATTTCAAATGCTGTTGGTTGACCCTTGAGAGGGATGAACTTACAGGCCTTGGAGAAGCGATCAACCACAACAAGGATACAGGTGTTACCATTCGAGGCAGTACGTCTTCCCTTCTGGGCAATCCGGCGGAGCAGGTTCGGTGCGAATGGCGTCACGGATGTCCTGGTTGATATTCCACTGTATGGGGCTGACGATCAGGGCTGGAGGGAGAATGGGTTCTGGTTCTGTTGGAATGTCGGGAGAGTGAAGACGGGATAGCGCATCAGCTGTGACGTGGTGGCGATGTCCGGCCAGGTTCCGGGAGTAGATGAGAATATCATCAAATTAGACAATCACGAACTTGAGGAACTCCCGGAACACCTCGTTCATGAAGCTTTGGAAGACGGACGGGGAGTTTGACAGGCCATACGGCATGACCCGATATTCATAGTGGCCTGCGGGGGTAATGAACGCCGTCTTCCACTCGTCGCCCTCCCTGATGCGAACGAGGTTGTATGCGCTCCGCAGGTCCAGTTTGGAGAAGACGCGAGCTCCACGGAGTTCCTCCAGGGCGGCTGGGACCAGGGGAAGTGGGTATGGTCCATGGCCTTGCGCTCTGGGATGGACAGTGGGTATACTCTACCCTTAGGGAGTTTTGCCCCAGGCAGCAAGTCGATGGCACAGTCCCATGGCCATTGCGGTGGAAGGCGAGTGGCTGCCTGCTTACTAAAGACATCCTGGAACGCCACATAGTCAGATGGGACGGTCGGTGTTTCTTGAGGTTCTGGACTTTCAACAAGGGTGGAAGCAACTTTGGCCTTGACGGGGCGTGGAAGCGGTACGGGTAGAGTGCCGAGACAGTTTCTATGGCATGACTCACTCCAGCGAGTGATATCACAGGGTTCCCATCTGACCTCTGGAGAGTGGAGAGTGAGTCAGGGGCATCCCAGGATGATATCCACTGTGGGTCCCTCTAGTACCAGGAAGGAAATGGTTTCCTCATGCAGACTTCCGATCCTCAATCTTAGCGGTGGGGCGCGAAACTGCACCCGCCCACGCCCTAGCGGCTTTCCCTGAAT